GTTTGTAGCCATGAAAAACGCARATTATATATGAACGAAATTACTGTTGATATTGATTGCATAAAAGTTGTTCAATTCTGTTATAACTAGGTTATAAGTGATAGCAACAATTAATGCAAAGACAATAGTAAATAGAGATGTATTCAAAGACACCCCTTGCACGAGAAAACCGCAAATGTGTCCGCTTTTTGACCACTTTCCTAACACACTCGATGGATCCTATTCAGTTTCATCTTATCTCATCATTATCCAATAAGGCAATTTTGCCCAGTTACCACTCGGGTTGAAACTCAGGAATATTTTAATATAAAGTATAAAATAATATATAAAATACATATTATCGTTCCTTGATCACGTGATGCAAATTCATTAGAACTTTGGTTTTGATGCAYAATTAAATTTTCCATTTASACGGTGAAGATCGGCTAATCATCAAGAAACCAAAGACATTCATGATATCAGATAAAAGTGCCTGTGCACAGCCTGCGAAGTCTGATGAGATATCACGTGACATCAATGAACAAATCAACCTTTTGCGGTCCGCCAATGTAACTTTCAAAAACAGTCAACGATCAAGGCAAAAAACATTTCTTATAAACAGCTAATAGACAATGGACATACAGACAGGAGATCTCATTTTGGGAAACAAACAGCACCTCCGGCCTTCGATGAGCAGCATTCTTATCCCTAAGTCCATTAGATCTCAATACAAAATGCAGCAAGCAGGTCAAATATCTGCAAAAAAAAACCCTCATCAAAGAGCGTCTAATGAKAAATGTTCTTTAAGTGATGTTTTAGTGGAAATATCTAAGAAAGCCTCTTTGCAGGAGGATAAAATGATATATATATAAGGCACTATCAAAAAACAGATGAAAATTTTCCAGTCAGTTTAGATCTGCTAACGGTAACAACATCACACAATCTCTGCTGAGTTAAAAGTGCTTGAGGTACAAGATCTAGGTACATGCAGAACCTTCCCGTTCCCCTTCTTGCAAACTTGAGGAAAAAAACGAATTCCAGACAGAAGCATTCTATAGGACATRCACARCCACTACTATTGGCAATACCAGGCTCAAGCCAAATCCCCGTTAACCCTGGATTCTTGTGTGATATAAACTTCTTTATAGTCCCAAACCCCGATTGGATACAAATTTCCCATAAATGACCAGCATTTCCGCACACATAATCCTCGCCATCCCGGAGTGGGGAGTGTAAATTAACATTTACATGCCAGAGGATTAGAAGAATTGTAATTTGGTGCGGCAGAAACATAGCGAAATGCGATTCATAGTTCCGACAAACCAAACGCGTCATCAGCCAATCAGAATAGAGGACACGTAATGGCAGCCTAGCCTGCGTTACATCCGGAATATTCTTCGGTATTTGTGAAATTTCCGGGATGTAACGCAGGCTATGGCAGCCATGTTGTCCTACAAAAAATGTAAAGAAAGTCGGATCGGAGGACGAAATTGACGTGGTTTTGAGGTGTTGCTGGGGCACTTGTAAGGCAGCTGAGCRCTATCCAGCCAGGTTAAATKGACGGAGGACGATTCATTCTGTTCCCCAATTCAAAAACTAATCAAGAAAATGMTTGAAATGAATCAAGATGTGACAAGTGGACGCAAGTTGATCACCTGGAATCGCCAAATTATCGGAAGGCTGTGTCGTTTACGAAAACTCTAAAGCATTGTGGAACAAGCCGCAAGCTCGGGTTTGATTTGTCGGAACCATGAATATACAARTGTCACTCCTAATGCAAATGAGCTTTCAAATCAACCGGGCTTTTTAACAAATTTTGAAGGCACCACAAAGCAGACGAAAGTCTTCAGATCATGTTTTTGAATTTTTTAATCTGATATCGATCAATAGCAATTTACACAGAATAAATATTGTATCATAACTTCTAAGAACTAAGTCCCAGTTAACATCAGATAGGGTTCCCCTAGGTCATAGAGCCAGACTCTTTTGTCTAAATCCTTAAGGGAGAATAAAACAAAATGGATGGGCGCTAGGGCCAACCCAACTCAATTAAATACACATCGTCAAAGCCGTCCYTCACAATCTTTAGCATTCTTTTTAGAACCGTGTATCAAGTAATTCATCAAGAGAKCTTAMATTTTCAAGGAAAGCTTATTATGCCATGTTCTTTTKATATTCAGTGGTTATTTGGGATACAAATGAAAGGCCTATGGCAATGAGTAAAAAGTTACGTAAACAATGGCGTAAGTAAAAATTCGCCTTTCGACGCCATCTTAGTCAATAAGTAAGTCTCGCAAAATAACAAGGAAACAACAGTGGGAAGTCAATGTCAAACAATTGGGGGGGGGGGGGGGGGGGTTGATTAACGAGCATGATGTATCAACTTCTAATGTTTATAGCATTAGTCACTTTCAACCAATCACGAATCAATAAAAAATGAGTTTGCCTCGTTTACATATATATCGGGCATTGTCGAATCCGGCGTTTTTAAAGGCTTAAAAGCCTTTGCTTCACACAAGAAAGCAACGATGACCGTATCTGGAATATTTAAAAAAAAAAAACAATGATCGTTAGTAGAGTAAACGAACACAGAATAATATGAAACTTATAAATATCTAGAGTACGCGCAAGCGGAGACTTAGTCTCTTACTTGATATCGCGTTGCTTTCTGCCGGATAGTCTCASTTCAGGACCGGGTTGCTCAAATCTACATGGTCACCCAACAGTAAAGAAATATTTCGCTCACAGTATAGAAGAGTGGGTTGACGTTAATAAGACCGGACGTTRACCAACTCGAACCTGGGCACGAGATTATATGCGTTTATTAATCCGGTCCATTTAGGAATGTTACTGAAATAAGCACCGCATATAGCAACTCATAGTTGCTAAGCAACGTGTAATGAGTTACCTTTGAGTACTGCGTGGGTAGATTGGAACATGTTTTCAAAACAAGTGTAGTTGTCATTGCTACAAGAATTTACTAGAGCCTTAAAGTCTAAATACAATGCTCGTAGGAAGGTCCTAATTCTTGATTATAAGAGAATGATGACGTCGTAACTAGAATTAGCCTAATGGAGAATGACTTACTGATTCAACTACAGTGGTTGACTATGAAGCTGTTAAAACAAATACACACATAATCGCTGTTTCATTTGACGACAGTTTCTCTTGCACAAAGAAATAAAAAGAACAGCAAAAATAAAAAAGAATGACAAAAATCCCCTCATTACAATATTCCTGAAATATCTAGTTTTCAAGCCGAACTAAGGCTGAGCCTGTATTCTTAAGATTAAAACCTGTTGGGAATACTGTTGTATTAACAGCAAAGCGTCTTTGCGAAAGAGAGAATAGTTTGCTWGTACATTCTTATYTRTAAATCAACTACTGGGCCCTGTTTACCATGACACACAAACTCTTTTGCTTTGTTTCCCAGTAGGGGTGTKAACAGGGGGTGGTACCAGAGGTTCCGATATCTCTCCTTCCCTGACAGACGAAGTCTTTGAAATATGAGGCTTCATTTACCATAGCAAAAGGTAAGGGACGGTCCATCATTTTATATGGTGTGAATCAAAGACAAAGATTTTCCAGTCATTTGCCTTTTTCGAAGTCTTGAAATTGCAAAACAAAGTTGGAACTACTCCCCCCCCATCTCCTGAAATTCTGCGCACACCCCTAACCAAACAAGATATCAGTACATACTGTGACCTAATCGGCACTTTACAGTCGGTTGCTGGGCTACTATCTGAAGCATATAAGCGATAATAACTAGTAACATCATCTCAGTTTCAAGTTGAAACAACCTATTGTAACCTCCACTTCATAATATTAATCATACCTGGTAACCAGTGATAAATAGCTACGTTAACACCACACTTGACGTGGGTATTTTGACATGCTGTCGAACGAAGAGCATGTACASCGAATGGAAATCATCCTGAAGAGAGTGTAAGGCCGAAAAAAAATATCGCAATAGCCCGCGCAAAGAATTTGGACTTATTRGAGATTAGCAGATTTAAGCTTCCAATGATTTTAAATAAGTTCTTTAAACAGTTAAATAAACTTTAGAAATATATTACAAATATCATAATTACAAATATAYAGAATACAAGATGAAACTTAGTTCGAAAGAACAAGTCGAATCGAACAGATGATGCTGATGTTTTATTCAGCAGTTTCTATCGATACACTTATGCAGAAACCTCTTAATAGGTTTTTATGAAATATGTCCAATTTTATGAGTTTAACAGGCTCTTATACGCAGGAAATGACTGTAYTAAGGGTATATTAAATCTCATCAGTGCCACAATCGGATTGTTTTAGTATTGAGGAATTTGATATCACTAAACTGAATATATTCATATAATTCAAAATAACTGCTGCTTTAGAACTCTTATCGATATTTCATGGACCATAGTTCTTTCCATAGTTATTATGTTCTTTGGAAGTTTTTCAATCAATTAAGTTTCTACATTTTCCCCTCTCACGGTAGTTCTCTGAGGACAACCTCAATATRTAGCCGCAATCTTTTCACAATCGATATCTTTTGGTTAATTATTAAAAGCAACAAATTTGGTTCTTTGTGTTTGTTAGCTTTTAATTTCCTTTATATTTGATTGATTAGATTTTGTGTTGACGCGTAACCACTTTTTTTTTGTTATCCTYTTAGTTGATTGGTTTCGTRTTTCTCTTATGCTGTTTCCAWCTCGTGTGTTTAAAGTAAATTGTTTTCTCAATCCCTTTTTCTTTATTTTGAGTGAATACGTTTTGTCGGATAAAAAAATACCCTACACATATACCTAGAGAATAAAACTCACGAACTATAAAACGTCGATGCAATTTTAGGAAAAAAATGTTAAAAAAACTTTTTAGATATTTTCTGAAATAATTATCATTAATTTCGTATATTTCTATTCTTTGTAATAAAAAATACCACTCACGTTCGCTTTAAAAAAATTTTCCCTTAATTTTTTACTTGGTTTTCAGATATTTTATTGAAATACAAAGGTTTYGTCACTTTGACATTTCTACTATTACTGTCATTAGCAGCCAGTAAATCATTATACCCTGCCATTGAGTGTCATTATAAAGCTCACTACCTTTAGAGAATTGCGCTAAAGCGACAACTGACCAACAAGTGAAACAACGTTCAAAAGGTAAGAGTCTTTGATTGAAAACTTTGATTGTAATCCTCATTATAAGGAATTAAGCCTCTAAAATTCTTTTTGTAACATGAGCGATTCAGTCATTTTTGAATGTTTCGCAAACACAAAGACGACTTTATAACTTACGGTCTATTATCATAGGAATGATTTTAGGTGATAAACAAAGTCACTCTTATTTACCGTATACCCTCTCTTTCATTTACTTTATTAGAAATACTGAATATTTGACTGACTTCATGAAACATTTCTGAGCAAATACAAAGGAATTTTATCACATTTTATCTCCTTTATTGAAAAATCGCCTACTATTTGATGAATGAATTACTAGAAGGCTAATATTTACATTTTGAAGTTGTCGAACTTAAAAGTTTATCTTCAGGACTAAACAAGAAAGAGATTTAAAAGGCAAAAGACTGATGGCCATGTTAGAGGAATAAACAATAGATACTAATAAGAAATCCTTTGTTAAATTTCCTTCAAGATGGCCGCTGTGACGTATAGTGAAAACAAAGAATATATAGCAAACAAACTGAAGCATTCCATGTACTTTACAATTTTCACCGTAGCTGTTTAAAAACTCTGTAATTTTATGTTAATACTTSATTAGTCCTGAAGATGAACTCATGCTAGATTCAGAACCTTTCCCATTAACAATGGAAAAATAATTAATCGTGAATTATTTTAATGTTATTGATGAATAAGGAAATAAAAAGCCGAAACTGTCAACAATATTCACGGTTTTTAAAATACCCTTCATTAATCACTCAATGCCATTTTGTTGTTTTTTGAGTGTCTCGTGGGTTTAATGTCTTCACTCATTGAACGAGCCCGAGTCATTTCTCAGCTACATGTACCATATATATATATATATATATAGTGGGTTGCCGTTCGCGTTTCTATGGAAACCACTGACACTAGAAATGAAAAGAGTTAGTTGTCGCACAAAGGACACATGACAGTTGCGAAAGATATCAGAAACGTTTGAAAATGAAGATTTATTCCCGAGTAGTAACTATTCCTTTTACCTTCCAGATTTGTAGGAATTCCTTTTTAAAAGCTGTTCGCTTTAATCTTTAATGTAAAATATCCAACTATTTTATTTTTACGAATAGTCGCTAATTTCATCAAGCTTTTTAATTGTTTTTAAGCGAACCTATTTTTCTCCAATATTACTGCAATTGCATGCTCTTTTTAAGCTTATACTTGCGCTTAATCMAGTGCACTGCAGATTAAAAAGTGCGGTTTTCTCGACTCTATTGCACATTAGCATATAACAAAATGTTAATGTTGCATGTGCCAGTAGCGATGTTGGTCAGTCGAACGCAACATCTTACACATGGACAAGTTATCACTATAATTTTTACAAAACGTGTCTATTAAATTCGATATACAATCCATAAKTCATTTAGAATACGGATCAATGCATTCATGCGGGGCAAGAAAAACTATACTAAAACCCCGTTTTGGTAAAACATAAAACTTGTACCCCTATCTACAAGGCAACACTACGATCTCCGTGGTAAACGTTCCCTAATCCTTAATCCCAAAAACTCTATAATGTACATGTACTTTTTTAGACTAAGAGAATATCTTACTCTGTTCTGCAAAGCTAGTCGTTAACTGAACGTAGATGCTTCGAATCCATAACGGAAGCARGACGGAATTTAAGTTTTTCATTGAACACTTCCCACGGTCTTTTTACTGTTACCTTGGAGAAAAGCTATGTATCAACCGTTCCTTAAAGGGCCAAACGGCATCCTTTATTACTTTTTTTATGACTAAATAAAATACATCGTAATATAAGGATCTTCATTAACCAGTGAAATACACTTGAGCATACTAGAACAAAGTCAATTTAAAACACCGCGAAACAAAACTTGACTATTAGAGGATGATAGTCAAATAGACAATAATGAAAATGCATGAGTATAATATATTACTTGTATATTCAATACAACATATTTCWTATMAGAATYAAGAGATTAGGGCTTGTGTCAATATGATATATATGGTCAAAGGGGTRGGTCATTTGAAAAAATTGTATTCATCTAGGGGGATCATGTTTTTTTTCGACAGAAAGTTTCAAAAACCACCAGACTCCCCTCCTCCCGATAAAAACTGAACGGTCCCTAAGTTGACATATTTCAAAACCACTTGTGAAATTTATCAAAAAATACATTGTATGTGTTCATAACTACGCCGAACTCGCGTAAATACTAAGTTATTCACAWATCATGGGGAAGAASAGGGATAATTCCAATATGTTTGGTAAAAATTGCTTTGGATATATTTTGTATGTTTCAGTGAAAATTTTCATGATGGCTGATATGATAAAGTTGGTRGTGGCCGTTTCCTTTGTTGCAATGATTGCGTCCTGTGWGGGGTATACAAACTATAAAAACGGCAACTGTAAGTCTATTCTCTAAATCTCATTGATTGTGTCCAAATTCACTGCTGGTTTATCATCTTTATCGTAGTCACCACAGTTTATTCAACAATGTATCGATTCCTTAATAGAGCTGTTTCCACAACGCATTTTTAAAAATATAAACACGTTTTTATTCATTTSCATGTAATTTTGCTCATCATCRTACAAAAACGCGTTATCCKAAACCCCTAGATCTATWACATATCAATCGATTCTTTTACWTATCAACTCGTCCTGATTCATCCATGTAGTGTCGCTTCATGCAGTGGGTCAACGTTATATGATAGTTTTAATGCAATCACATCTTAATTTACTATCGCAGATCCTAAACCTTGCACTGGAACATTTTACGCGGATTGTTCCGTATGTCCCTGCAGTAGCATCACTGCTAACGGTACTATCGACAAGACCAAATGTGCTTCTATCGAGTGTCCACAAGACTTAGGGGTGTTTTGCGCTTCTAATAACTGGGTTCCCCCAAATCCTTCTGGAGGAGAATGTGACTGTAGCGTCTGTGCACAAGGTATGATTAGTACAAGCTGTTTCCAATTGAAAAGTAAATACTGCGGTATTTAACAATTAGACGTATGCTGAATTCTTTCATCAGTTTCATTCATTTTTTTATGTATAGTCTAAAACACGAGAGACAGTGYTTTATGTGATATATAAAATGCTGCTTTAAGTAAACAACGGCTTCAAAAACCCAAGGGGATAGTGGTTTAAGCAGTGGTTTTGTTCTTCGAATGTTAATAGAATGCCACTTTAAGTAAACAACGCAAGTAATACAAATGCAAGCATTCCAGCATTTTTGGTCGCTAAAGACAAAATGAGTTCAAAACGAAGCTTTCGGAAGCCTAAAAGTTATGCAGAAGAAGAAAAGTTTATAAATAGTCCGTATTCTGTGGTCGAWTATCGTTAACTTTCGCTGCCATGGCACCGGCACCAAAAATTAAYCTCACATACACATAGTTAAAGACTCGCCTAACACGAATTCAGTTGTTGTCACCTCGAATTTATTTATTTTTTCAAAACGAAATTTTGCAAAGTATGGTCGGGAGTAGACTATTGTTTTTTTATGATTTTTTTCTTTATCAATAAATGAGGCAATTTGGGAATAGATGAAAATGAGCGGACAATATATGGGTGGATGAATGTATTTAAGTAATGCCCCGAGTAAGAAATAGGGAAGCAAACGGCACAGGAATGCAAGAAGGTGCTAATTGCGCATTGTATAATCCATCCATCCCATTGGTTWAAACATGAAAATCTGCTATAATTTCCCAAGTTAGCGAATTTTCTAATATTATATTTAATTTCGTTTTTCGCTTTCATGAAAGCTTTCTTTAGCTTCAATATTAAGGCAATTCTAYKTGGGGAACATTGCAAATTAGAAGCATCTTTTAGCTATTGTTTTGAGTGCTTATGATTGGATAAGAGGTTTTAATACAAAAGAAACTTTGTTTCAAAATAGAGTTTATCCACATTTTATTTCAAAAATGTGTTACCCACAGATGGATACATAATCAGTGTGAAAACCAAGACATTCGTATATGGGGAACTTGCTATGCCGCAGAACAATAGAGAGCTCCCTAGTTCTTACGCGCATTGTTACTTAAGTTTCAATAAATRAAGGGTGGAAGATGGATGAATTGGTTAAGGAAAAGGAATGAAATTAATAGAAAGATAACACAATTTAAATAAGAGATAGAAAAAAATATAGTCCATTTATCATATATAAACATTATATATATAAGAAATAGACGGAAAGAAATAGAAAATAATACAGATAGAAATAATAATAATCAAAAAGAAAAATAATATGTAATGTGCGCGGGCGAGCTCGATGAAATGTCGCGTAGTGATCTCGTTGGGAGGAAGGAGCGGTTCGTGATAAACTAGGGAACGCAAAGGGGTCCCAAATGGACTGGTTTAGCCATAGATCATCAGGAACTAGGAGAGGGTAGACAGAGAAATCTTCGTGTTTCAATGCAATAGACCTTTTCACGATTAAAACCAAAATAGGCAAAATGTTTCCTGCAGCCATCAAATGAACAAGAGTGCCAAGTAATATCAAAATTATAATTTTTTCACAGGCATCAAAAATAATTATTATGACATTGCAAAAGGATAAACAAGCTCAAAAATGGCAAGTTTTTTGGTTGTTGCCCGATTTTGCCTCGCTTTGGTGCAAAACCAATGCAGGCTACTCGCACAGCTTGTTTCCTAACCGCCGCGGCGCAAAAAGGGTTATTRATTAAGCCGTTTTAAAATTGGGCACGCGACGGGTTTGAATTAAAGCTTTTAGACAGTACAGGGAGGTAGTAGGTTAAAGATTAATACACAAGGGGGGTGATATATATGGGAGAAACTAAATATGATCTGAGAGTTGAACTTACTTGTTACCCGTAGTGTACTAGTTTGGCCCGTGAATTTATCAAATTTATTAATCTATTCCTCGTTAAATAAAAGAGTTGTCGCAAATCGTGCTTCTCTTCTCTTGAGAAGTTTTCGAATCTGACAACGTTGTTATTTTTTTCACTTAGTTCTAGTTAATTTTAGACGTTGCCCCCCTCTTTAAGTACATACAATTAGATTTTGCCCCACTCGGGATTCTCAATCCCCCTTCCCCTTCCTGATGAATATTGCGCAGTCCCGCATGTTAATCTCGTCGAGCCAATGCATCGTGTATGGCTGAAAACGTCTTAACCGCATTGAAAAACGAAGATTTTTTAGTCTACCRTCTCARCTCCTAATAATTTACGGTAGSAAGTGCATTTTGGTTTCCCTTGTGTTCCCTAATTTACCGCGATCCGCTYCTTCCTCCCCACGAGATCACCACGCGACATTTTATCGACTTCATCCCGTGCATGTTACATATTATGTTTCTTTTTTTATTACTATCAATTATTGTATTTATATTATTTTTCTTAATTTTTCCGTCTATTTCATATGCATATATTTATAAAGAACTCGAAAAAACAACAACAATAAAACAAAGTGTATTTTTAGTAAAACTAGCTCCTCGATAGTAATAATAGACTAAGGAATGAACATTGGGTATATTAATTCAATTTCTAGCCATATTTTTYCATTTTAATGAATATTGTAAAAATTCCCAATCTGACTACTTACCCCTCCCCCAGGGACCATGAATGCAAAATGTGCAATTTATTAATAACACTATACAATCAAATCATACGAAAAGAATTGATGGTTTGAAGAGCTGACACTATTTGAACTTAAATTTGTCATTTGTTATTCATTATCGGCATTTTTGAGACATATTACTTATTTACACAAAATTTAGTTTTTTCTAGATTTRAGTGAAGCTGTCTTTAACAATTGTTCCATTCATTTCACTCAGAAATAAAATATATTGGTGTGCCTGGTGTGTTATTTATTGGCTCCTTATTTACTAGGTGTACATGCAAATAAATGTTAGGTCCTTTATCCGGTAGGATGAGGTTTTATATWAAGATTCATCCTACYKGATAAAGGACCAATTTTTTAGTAATCAACCATTGTTTTTCATTGTTTTCATTCATTTACCCCACATTTCCCTGAGACCGCAATCAAAACCCTCCCCGGGCTTTTAAGTTTGCTAGTTTGGATAAAAGTATGTCCACGTGATGAAATGTATTCATGAGTTTTTGAATTGTGTTGTTATGTGTGTTTGCTGATCAGCTAACTTTTCGTGTAAGCAC